ACGATGCTCTGGCTGGGGCAGCAGCACTGTTAGAACCAGGACAGCGCTTTGGTTTTGCCCACAGGACAAACCACAGGTGACACACAGCCCCAGGCAGCGGGACACTGCCTGCTCTTCAGGAACCTTGAGCTACACAGAAAATCAAGCATGGGTGCAGCTATGCAGGCCAAAAAATGCACAGAGAAGGCAGAGAGGTGGCCAGGCTCAAGGGATAACAGGCATCATCACCCTCTGCAGGCTGGGGACAGTGGAGGGGGACACAAGGAGCTCAGCATCATCTCAGGGGATGAGCCAGGCTGCAGCTGGGACCAGCACAGCTGATGCTACACAGAGAGTTGACTGGTGGTGCAAACAGAGCACACGTGGAGGGAATGAGGAAGAGCACTGTGATGCGGGGGCACAGCAGCACCAGAAATGTGTGGCTGCATGAAGCAGGAGGCTACCAGGTTGCTTGAAGGGGTGTCCTCAACCCACAAAGCTGCACGATGGCTCCTGCCTGCTGGCAGCGAGCGTAGCTGCCCTGTCCCCCAAGGAGGTGGCTCCTGGACCCAGGGGGACCACATCTGTCCAGTGCATGAGGGGACTCTGAGCAGACAGAGCTTCACCAGCACAGGCCACAGAGGAGAGCGCAGCTCGGCCTTCGGTTTGACCAGCCGCTCCCAAAATCCACTTGGCCAGATGAGCACCGAACAGTTCACAGACTGGCCAGGCAGAGAAAGTCCCATTTCTCCACGTTCAGTGTATGGAGGGGCCGCCGGCTCCTGCAAGGCGACCCGCCGAGGTAAGGATGAGAAGGTTGCTGTGGAAAACACGTCCCCGCGGTTCCAGTGCGGTGACAGACAGCAGGGCTTTGGAGGCAGTCGAGGGATTGTTAAATTACACGCAGACACACTCATACACTCAGACACACACAAGCTCTTCTGTAAACTGGACTCCAGAAGATCCCGCAGATCCTCGACTGATCCTACAGCCGGCACTGGATGAGGCATCCTTACATGTTCCCGCGGTACGTGATGTTGGTGAAGGTAGATGTAGCCTCTTTGTACAAAGGGTTGTTACCCTGGAAGAAGGAGGAGGAAAAAGGGCATCATCACTCTGTGCTTGGCATCAGCATTCATTCTGCTTTACAGCTGGGGAAACTGAGGCACCATCTCAGCACTGAGTGGTGGATCCATGTCTTTGCTCAAGGCTTTGTCTGCACAGTTTAACAGCTCCCCATAAGGTTTCACGGGGGAAAGCAAGGAAAAGCTGCTGTGGAGGAGAGGAAAGGCAGCAGGAGCAGAGGTCTGAATAAACCATGCTCTCCCACTCCACCCCTTCCCTCTGGCGAGGTGGAGGAGAGGTGGGGGACAGGCACCAGTGCCGTCCCAGCCCCCTCCCTTGTGCTCCGGGTGCCTCAGCCCTTCCAGCATCACATGGCAGGAGGGACCTTCCACCCCACTCATGGGATGGAAACACTGGTGTGGGCAGTGAGTAAGAGGGTCACACTGGTGGCAGGTGCTTGGGATGTGCCGGAGGTAGGAAAATCATCTGGGACATCCGCTGTGGCCTGTCCACAGCCCCTGGGACCACAGTGGGCAATGAGTGCCCAGGTTGGAAGAGGCACTCCGAGTCCTGCCTGCGACACCGTGCCATGCTTCAGAGAGCGAAGGGACAAGCTGGACCATGCTCTGGGACCACAGACAGCAACTGGGCTCTCTTCCTGGGACCTGGATCCACTCAACCCAGGGGCGGTGGGATTCAGGGGTTCCTGCCCAGCGAACCCAACTCGCTGGCCCTCACCATGTCCCACTTGGCCCTGGCCTTCTCCTCCTCGAAGCGGGCAAACTCCCGGCGGTCGTGGATGGTGATGAGGAGCTTCCAGATGAGCAAGGCGGCAAGGCCGATGAGCAGGATGGCGCCCGTCACCGAGAGCAGGACCACCAGGATGTCTGGCCCCTTCGGGCAGTCTGGCAGAGGGAGGAGGGCAAGGTTGGAGCTGGGAATCTGCACCCTCAGGGCATTTAAAAGCATAATAATGGGGCTGCCTGGCCATGAGTACAGGGAGCTGCTCTGGTCTCAGGAAGGCCACATCCTGTCCTGTTAGGGAGCAGGAGCCTCCACCCTCAAGCACACCAGGCTCTGTAAAGTAGGGTCCCATCCCTGGGGTGCATGTGCTGAGATCCTTGAGCTCCTGTTGCTAGGGTGGAGGTCTGCACCCAAGCCTGGAACAGTCCAGGTCAAGGGCATCACAGGTGCCATCTGTAGTTTGGGTTGACACAGGACACCAAGTCCTTGGGCTGGTGGAATTTCATCTTCAAACCACCAGCCCGGCTGATGCACTCACACCACCCCTGCTCACCGGCTGTGCGTCAACACCGTGCTGGTAAACCAGGGTGGCAAGATCCGGTGCAAACCCCAGCACCCACCCTGCTCATCCCCACACACTGCCCGGGGCTCTGCAGCCAACCCGGGGGCTGGGGAGAGTGTGCTGCAGCTCTGCCAGGGGCAGGCAGCCCTAGGGGGCCAGCCATAGGGAGAGCTGGCAGCTGCCTTTGTGGCCCTGCTTTTGGGGGATCTGTGGTCCCCACCCAGCCCAACTGCAGCAGCCAGGTCTTACCTGGCTCCTCGATAACGTAGAGGATGGACTTGCCACTGGAGTCCTCATAGTACTGGAACCGCACCACACAGTCGTCCTCATCCTTGTAGGTGCAGTTCACGGCATCCTTGCCTCTGTCACCTGCCAGAGCAAGAGGCTCAGAGTCCCCCGTGCAGGAGGGATGCAAAAGCGGAGGGGAAGCGGATGGCATACGCAGCCCCCCCCGGCTTTCCGTGCTCTAAGGGCAGGGGTTTGGGTCTCCTCTCTTACTTAGTTCCTGCACCGTCTCGATCTCGTCGCGGCACATGCGGCCGCAGGACTGCTGCTTCACCAGCTCTCCTCGCTCAAACTTCTTGCACTCCACACAGTCCCTGAGGAAGAGGAAGGAGGTACCGTGAGCTCCTCCGTGCTCTCCTCAGGTGACCCTCACACCTCTCAATCCTAGGCTGCGGAAATCGCTGTGATCCCAACCCCGCCAGACTGCAGCTGGTGAGAGCTCCTGCTGCC